TGACCCAACAGGGAGAGATGTGGCTCCAGCCACTGTGCCCCAAGGCCAGACTGTGCCCTTACCTTACCCCCATTGCTATTGAGCCTGCGTCCATTTTGTACCCGTCCCTTTTGGGAGCCACCTGATGAACAACCAACTGGCATCTGGCTAAGCAAAGGTGGAATCTGTGCTCAAAGTGCTCCTTTGCTCCACAAGCCCTACAGTAACGTTTTGTCTGTGGCTGTACATGTGGTTGTCTGTTGTTGTCGAAGGCAGGGTGTGGAGGTAGATTAATTTTCAGATGAGGATGAAAATAAAGTACACATTTTAAATTTCTAAATCTTGTTTCCACCTTTTGTGCAGTTTAGCATTAATGTGTACGTGACCTTTTTTATCAAGCATTAGACTTCACTGCTGTAGGATGTAAATAAATTTCAAATGACTTTAATACAAAAAATACACATTTAAGAAACACTGCAAGCCATTTTTCTCTGTTCTATATATTTCAAGGCAGACATTTGTAGCTTTTTTGTGTGTGAGAGTGAGATGATGCACAGAAACAAAACTCGTCAACACTTATAAGAAACTTAAAATAGGTGTAACTATTAAGGCAGGATATAAGGAAAAGAGGATATTTGACAATCACGGAAATGAGAAGCTATTTAAAAAGCTGCTTTAATATTTAAAGTACCCTTAATAAATTCAACAGCTGTTATATTGTTTATGCCACATTTATATACCCTACTACTTTATTTGAACATACACTGAATACTGTGTGGATGACACTTAAGAGTATAACACAGTTTTTATTATCTTATGATTGAAATCGATGTCTAGGATATTATTTACTCTTGGCCTACACTGAAACTTCTAAATGGCACACATAGTATACACCCCAATCGTGGTACAGGTTATTGCATTACTTTTGCATTTACTTTATCACTTTTCCTTTCTACTTCGTATGTTCAAATACAAAGTTACTGCCTTTCTCTCTGCCGACTTTCACAATTTCACCCAAGATGTCATCTTCAGAACACGTAACAAGAGAGCAAGCAACAGGCTTACTTTTTTCAACATAAACCCTGTGCCATTCCCCAACCTAAATATTGTGATTAAATCCAAAGCAGTAGAATGAAATACCGACCCACATACACACCAAAATTTGACTAAAGTTCAATTCTAGCAGCATTGACAAACATGTTATGACACGAACCCCCTTTATGCAGTCAGTTCTGTGAGGGTCTGTGTGTCAGGACCTAGTCAGAGTTGATTTTATTTTTCCTGACCAGTCCTCTACACCCCCAATGTATAATATTCTCTTTCGGGTTTGTTTATTTCACGCTGTCTTCTTTGAGGACTACTGCACAGTATATGGCTCCTCAGAAAGTCAGGCACCAATACTTGTAACATTCAAAAGGCACAGTTACTTTATTGTTGCACAGAAAACTCATCAGGGGGATGGGATATATTTACACAGGATGTTCTGATACTTTGTTGAATAAACAAATCACTTTGCCTTGGCTTAGGCTGTCTGCTTTTCACTCTTAGTTCAGTACCTAGATGTTCCTTAGTTCACACCACACAACTCAGATCTCACTCTCCAGTCACTCCTTCAGTGGTTAACTTTTGGCTTTATTTGCCTGGCCCCTTTGAGTCTAACTGGTCACCTAACCAGCCTTCCAGACTCCTCTCTCCAGACACTCTAGCCTTTACTCAGCCACTTTATAAGTCCCTGTGGAGCAGTGTTTCTGGTGTCTGTGACCACTCAGGTCTTATACTTTTACCCTCCTCGATATATCTGAGGAATCAGTGCAGAGTGCTCTTCAGCCACAGTGCTTTACATCAACTGTTAACAGGCTGTTCTCTCAAAAGCTCGGTTAGCCGACTTGCTCCTGCTAACTTCTCTGTCCAACTCAACAACTGCCTCCTCCAACTGTCCCTTCCAACTGTTCGCCCCCAACCGTCAGTTAGGTCAGTATTCTGTCACTCAGGGAGTGCTCGAGCCAAAAGGCCCCCTCCCCCTATGTCATGTGACTCAGCAGGGATCTATCTCAACATTCTGCTGGTCCCAGATTTTCAATTCTGTCACACATGTGTTTAAAATTTAATAAAGAGCTAAAAAGCATCAATTTATGTCTACTTTTCCATGTTTCATAAAAGCAGAATACACAGAATAACATCTTTAAAACCCTTAACTAGTGTACATTTTATAAAGGAAGAACCCCAGTACTAGCTCAGCTTCTCCAGTGACTCTCTTAGAGATAGAATATGAAATGAAAAACAAAACATCCCTGTATATTCAATATAATAAATCATTATCCCTTTTAAATCCATGTAGCCAATATACTGTATTTTAGTCCAATGAATCTATGTTCCTTCTTCAAACCATTGTACTCACCCTTCATACATACTCCTGCATTGGATTTATTCCAATATTGGAATTAAGTCATGCAATGTCATAATTATCAACCTCAGAAAGTCTTCCTTTCCAATGTAGTAGAGATGGGACTATAAAGATTTCCCCCTTTTTTGATTATTCATATTTATCTAGTTTTTATAGATTTATTTTTAAGTAATATTTTATTAGGATGTTAGAAAAGCCTGTTATATAGAAGGCTTTCCTCTTGTAGGTCTGATATTGTTAACAGACAACATAATAGGTACAAAGTTCATGATTCTGTAGTTCTTAAGGGCAAAACCTTGCAATGTCTGGGTCATAGAAGATTTTAGTCTTGTTATCAGTAATGAATACTTTTGTTTGGGATATGAAGAATCCTTGCCCATTATCATTTAGGCTAGGTTATGTAAACACTTAGATTTACGTAGATATATGTTTATTTACATCTGACAAATAAGAAGCTTATTATTCAAATGACCACTGTCTTTTGTAACCAATTATGCTTTTTGAATATTGTTTTCTTGATTATGTCAGTCCATGTATAAAATATCATGTATTTCCTGAATATGTTCAGAATATGTTGAAGAAGAAGAAGAAGAAGAAGAAGAAGAAGAAGAAGAAGAAGAAGAAGAAGAAGAAGAAGAAGAAGAAGAAGAAGAAGAAGAAGAAGAAGAAGAAAGATGTCAATTGTTGATGAGTTATTTGGTCCAATTGTTTTCCTGTTAATTGAAATAAAACATAGATCTTCTTCCTCATTTGACTTCATTTTTGACATGGAGTCTAATATGTACAACACCAAGTACTGGAAAGTGGCACGTATACATGAAACACGTACAATTTTTTCAGATAAGCTTCATGAGTAAGAAACTCTTCAATTGCTATTGTGCATCTATTGACAGAAGAAGAGAAGAGATTGGATTTATACCCCACACTTCACTATCCGAAGGAGTCTCAGAACAGCTTACACTCTCCTTTCCCTTCTGCCCCCCACAACAGACACCCTGTGAGGTAGGTGGGGCTAAGAGAGCTCTCTTGAGAACTGTTCATGAGAGAACAGCTCTGAAAGAACTTATGACTGACCCAAGGTCACACCAGCAGCTGCATGTGGATGAGTGGGGACTCAAACCTGATTCTCCCAGATTAGAGTCCACGCTCCTAACCACTACACCAAACTGTACGTAGATAGGTATAAAACTCTGTCTTCTTAGGACATTGTCACCTGTACAGTACAGTAGAAAACAATGTCCGCAAAGTACAGCCAGTTAACACTTACAGGCTGCGGTCACACGTAACAGAAGCCACACAAGTGAGACGGAAAACAAACGGAGTTTCCGGGCGCGATCTCACCAGCACATCTGGGAAGCGTAGCACTCCCGTGGCTCAACCGAGGCTTCCAGCCGAAACTGCGTGGCAAAAAACTAGTACCTTGGAGGTACTAGTTTCCGGAAACTGCGGGGCAAGGGCGGGCGTCTGATCGCGTTTCCGGTGGCATCCGGCACCCGCCCATGTCCCCTTGCAAATAAGGTGGTTTTTTTTGTCCAAGTCTCTGTGGATGCGCATGCGCACCCAACGGAGCATGCACATTTGTCATGTACACAAAAATAACAAACAGTTTGCCGCGGCGCACGCTTCTTCGTTGTGCGCCGGCTTGTCCTGTGATCGGCACCTCTCCCTTGCCATGGAACCTCCACGGTACCTCCACAGAACCTCCACAGGAGGTCTGATCACGTAACTGCGCAGTAGTTTGCCCCAGGGCAAACAGCCACGCTTCTCCTCTGCAGTTTCCTGCCCGTGTGACCGGGGCCACAGTTTAGTTTCTGTGAACAAGGCACCTGGGGTACAAAACAACCTCAAAAATCTATGCATTTTGGCACTGGGTTACCTTTCACCTTTGTGGGAATTTTTCTACCCCAAAATCCTGAAGGTATTTGAGCTGGAGTGGAAATATACCCCAAATGCTCTGTGTACTATTTTTTTACAGGGTTGTTACAGTTAAGAAGCAAAATGGTTTGCTGGAAATTATATTTAACAATGAAATGTTCTCCAGTGGTTTCCACTCCTGATTAGTGTTGTATTGCATCCTCACATCAGATCACAAACAACTCTGTTCTTTAAATAATTAACAAAAACTAATATTGCAGCTGGGATACATTCTCTCTTTTTCTCCAAGAGAACATTTAAATGGCAGCAGTTGTTGGCCATGCAAACACGTGCATTAAAAGGTATGACCAAGACAAACATTAAGAAAAGAGATCTTGCCCTTAATTTAGTCACTTTCAATTTATGACCCCAACACAGGACATGCATTTGTACAAACAATCAAGGGATGTACTTAAATAAACATGCTCATTTTGGAAAATGGAAAAAACACTGGAATTTTTAAGATGTAAACTGATGATTAATTATCATAGCAAAATAAAGATACATGGTGTGTAAATGCTTATTGCAACTTTTTTAGTTTTTCCCACATATAATGTTGTTTTGTTTTTAAAGAACTTCTTAAATATAAATGGAGAATTAATGGTAGAATCTACGTATTAAAATGTCATGCAACAACATCTAACTTTTAAAATACAAATTTGATGTCTTTTATGAACTAAACTCCAATAAACACTTAAGTTACCTTGTCGGTTCACTTCATTTTGAAGCAATTCCTCCATCGCCTCTTCTTCAGCAATATCTAATGGAGTGTCTCCTTCACTATTTACTGCTCCTACATGTGCTCCTTGACTAATTAAATATCTGTAAGAGAAGACAGAATTTATGGCTAACAAAGCACACTTATACTGATGCATTTCAGTAAAAAAGAAGCATTTAAACTATACATTAAAATCAAACACAAAGACTGAAAGGACAGTCTTTCATATATCATTTCCTAATGTATTAGGCATACAGGTTCTTAAGATGTAAATAAAAACAGATTAATGTTTTTCAGGCCCGTAGCCTAAGGGAGCATGTGGGGGTAATGCCCCCCCCCCCAAGGATGAGTGCTGCCTCCACTGGAAAAAATTCAAAGAAAACTAAAAAATATTTTTTTTAATGTGATATGTACGTGGGGTTTCCAAAATGACCCCAGACACAGTCAGGGATGCTTCAGTCTCATTTTCTTTTTTATGGGCCAGAAAGTAAATAGGTTTTTTAAAATGAAAAAGAAAAGAAAATTGCAAAAAATAACATTGCAAAATGCAAAAGAGAAAGAGTTGAAGATTCCCCCCTCCCCAACTCATATAGGTGAGGAAGCCAGTAGATGAGGAAAAGGACTTGGCTCCGCCTTTTAAATACTGCTCAAGCCGCGAGCCTGCCCACAGCAGAGGAAGAGGACTCAACTTGGCGGCAGTGGCCTCACTGTGCCTGCACCAGCCAAGGCAACCCGGGTCACATGATGGCAGGTCACATGGCTGGGCTGGTGCAGGTGCAGTTAGGCCGCCACCACCAAGCCAAGTCCTCTTCCTCTGCTGCAGGCGGGCTCGCAGCTTGTCACTTTCTCTCTTTCTTTCCTCCATCTCCCCTGCCCCACGTGATTTCCCAACACCCTATCGCACAAAATTTTCTGACTACACCCCTGATGTTTTTTATTCATTCAACAAGAACAGAAAACCAACATTACTTTATAAATTACTTCATTTACATTGTGTAATCTGCCTTGCGCCTCAGTGAGAATAGTGGACTATAAAAACATATCAATAAAATTCAACTGAATCCACCTACATTAAGGTGGAGAGCACTATTAAGAGATAGAGAATTGGGCATAAAATAAGCAATTTAATTGTTTCTTACAACTATCCTAGTTTTAATGCAGTTTTTATTATGTGAAGATTCAACTAATATTTATACAGAAACAGTTAAAAGTTAGATCAATTCACAGAAGGATCTAGGGGTGTCAATATTATTTTTCCTAATAAATCCCAAACAATAAAATCAATGATGTTTTGCTACACATGATTCATGCAAAGTTACTGAAACCCATTTCACACTCCAATAAAAAGATTTTCACAGTGTTCTCCTCCTTCCCCCTGATTAACCACTACACCTCCTGAAATACAAGGCAAATTAACAGAGCACTGTTCAATGTTCACTCTTACTTTGGCCTACAGTCAAACAGATTCAAAGAAAAGAAGAGCTACAAAAGAAACATTGGGGGGGGGGGGGTTTACTGTCCACAATGATTCCCAGAATAGACAGAACACCAGAAGAGCTTGTAGACCAGTACCTATCCCAAGTAATCCATGAACAAAGGCCTCAATTCCAAGCCATTGTTCTCACCTGGTGGAACAAGGGCTCATTGCAATTCTTAGATAATAAATGGGGAACATGTCGATAGTGGTGCTTTTTAAATAAGTTAGCATATTTTCAGCAATTCTTCTGATTTTGTCAGAGGCTAAACATCTATAATTGTGCCGGAGGAGTCTCTATATGAATATCCTCTCTTTATGGATTAAACCAGATAATTCAAATTAAGAGAATTAGTGTGATAGACTGTCAGACTAGGATCTGGGAGACCCAGGTTGAAATCCTCACTCCACTATGAAAGCTTGCTGGGTGACTTAGGACAAGTCACACATGCTCAACCTAACCTACCTCACAGGGCTGATGTAAGGATAAAGAGAGAGAGAGAAGAATGACATAAGCCACTTCGGATCCTGATGGAGAAATGCAGGGTACAGATGAAGTAAATGAATAATTAAAAGTTGCAAAGATTTTTGTTTGTTTATGCCTTCAAGTAGCAGCTGACTTGTGGTGATCCCATAAGGTTTTCAAAGCAAGAGATGTTCACCGGTACTGACATTGTCTGGCTCTGCATAGAAACCTTAGTATTCCTTGATGGTCTCCCATCCAAATACTGACCAGGACTGATACTGCTTAGTTTCTGAGGTCAGGTGAGCCTGGGCTATCCAGCTCAGGGCAAGCGAAGCACAGAGAAGTAAAATTTCTGGAAGTTTTGAAGCCACCAGCGTGGGGGACGCCTTCCCCCAACGTTTTTGTGAAAAAGGAAATTTGGGGGGGAAATGAAATATATGTACTAATATACCAATACTTGAGAATGTCGAAAACTGTTCCACCCTATTCTCACTACACACATCTTAATTTTTGCCAACTGAGAGGCAAGGGAAAATAAAAAGTGAGGGTAAAAACAAACACTCTGTAGTAAACAAAATAAATTATTATTTGAACAGAAACACTCTCTTACTACCAGCATATCCAAATATCAAGTTATTGCAGACACCAAACTCTAATAGTATATTATTAAATACGTTATAGCATAATAATTATTGCCATATTATTGACATTTAGATAAATGTATTCTTGAAAGTATGTTTTATACTGCTACAGTATAGTTATCTTATATATATAATTCTCTTGACGTGCTGGCCATTTCCAGTTCTCCCATTGGCTCTGCTGTGCGCTCCATCAGCCATTGGTCCATGAACCGCCACTCAAGAATAATCACATGCCATTGGCTGGGGGCTGGGTCCGCTCCTCTTCTCCGCCCACTACCACCTCAGCCACTGTTCCCTGTCAGAATAACTGTCAAACAAACAGCTGTCTCTCCTGATGAAGACACTTCTGCTTGGCTCCTGTGGGACTAAATTTTCCCTCCGTGGCTGTTGCTAGGCAACCAAGCTTGGTTCTGTCAGTAAAAAGACAAAGCAATGAAGCCCTTTCCAGGCCTTTGGCCTTTGTGGGGAACTCATTGGGGCCAAGTGCTGACTAGAGTTGCCAGCTCCGGATTGGAAAATTCCTGGAGATTGTGTTGAAGTCTATGGAACCCAGGGTTTGGGGAGGGGAGAGGCCTCAGATGAATAAAATGCCATAGAGTCCACCCACCAAAGCAGTTATTTTCTCCAGAGCAGGGTTTGCCAGACCAAGGTTCTTGCCGTGGAAGCTGAGTGGGTGGTTTTGGATTTTCAGCCCAACCTACCTCGCAGGGTTGTTGTGCAAGTTAAAAGGTGCTGCTTTGGTACCCATTGCAGAGAAAGACTGTACTTTTCCTCCTGGGGAACCATTGTTGCCAATCTCCAGGTGAGGACTGGAGATCACTCAGAATTACAACTCCAGGAGGGAGGGAGGGGAGAGGAGATGGAAGGCTGAAGTCAGAGGGGCAGATAAAGGTAGGTTGATGGTTGGCTGGGAAGGAGATGGGGTTGCCAACTCCAGGTTGGGAGATTCCTGGAAATTTGAGGGGTGGAGCCTGGAGAGGATGAGGTTCGAGGAGGGGTGGGACCTCAGACAGGTACAATGTCATAGACTCAACCCTCCAAACCAGCCATTTCCTCCTGGGGAACCATTGTTGCCAATCTCCAGGTGAGGGCTGGCGATCACTCAGAATTACAACTGCTCTCCAGGAGGGAAGGGCAGAAGTCAGCTGAAGTTAGAAGGGCAGATAACAGTAGGTTGGTGGTTAGCTGGGAAGGAGACGGGGTTGCCAACTCCAGGTTAGGAAATTCCTGGAGATTCAAGGGATGGAGCCTGGAGAGGGTGGGGTTTGAGGAGGGGTTGAACCTCAGACAGGCACCATGCCATAGACTCCACCCTCCAAACCAGTCATTTCCTCTTGGGAAATCATTGTTGCCAATCTCCAGCAGAGGGCTGGAGATCACTCAAAATTACAACTGCTCTTCAGGTACCAGAGATCAGTTCCTCTGGAGACAATGGTGGACTCTATGTCATTATACCCTGCTGAGGTTGCCACAGCAAATTGATGCTGACTGCCCAAGGCCAGGGCACTCTCACAGAGCCTCTTTCTAGAGCTCATTGTATTTATTAAATTTCATACCACACTAAAATGTTCATGATAAGAAAAAAGTATGCCTTAAAATAATTTCATTTATTCTGAGGGGGGAGGGGGAATAATTGGGAGTACTTTTAGTGCTTCCTAGAATTTCTCAAACTTTCCACTGGAAAAATGAGAAAAGATGTTCTTGGAATTCTTGTATATTGAATAATACATCAGGGTCAACACAGAATCTTTTTAATTTTCTTACAGCTATATTAATCATTCGTGACAAGAAAATATACCCTATCTTCACTTCTCAGTGAAAAATGTGTACCATTGGCCCTCTAAAACTGTAGAATCATTTCCAAATACCTATATGAGATATATTTCTTGTTATACAAATCTTTCTCATGGTCTATCCTACTTGTTTACAATGGCAACAAAAGTTTTGGTATTCTGAACAGCTACTTTTTACCTATTAATATGCATAAACAAACTTTAAATTATAGATAATTTGGCTATACAGGGACAAGAAATATGAAGAAGTTGGAAGAAACCTGGGAGGAAATCCCTCTTCATTTTTTCCCTGAGGGTTCCCCCCCTCCCAATTACAAATGTTGTAGAGTTCTGGAAAAAACTCCTATGGTATATTTTCTATTATGGAATAAGTAAAATACTTCCTAAGACAAAGTGTTTCTCATTCAAAATGTAGAATATGAAAGAATTTATACAGGTCAGTGTTTACAGCATTACATAAAGGCAGGTTGCTTACCTGTAACTGGTGATCTTTGAGTGGTCATCTGTACATTCACACCTCTGGGATATAGTGTGCCTGCGCCAACCTCAATCAGTTCCTCTTGAAAAGCGAAAGGTATTTTTCTGCGCCCGCTCCCCAGTCACGCACCGGCCCCACTGCGCATGACTAAGGGAGGGGCACGACAATCCCTCCAGTTCCTTCTGACCACTGCCATCAGTCTCAGAGCAATAAAGGAGCAGAGGACCAAATGCAGAGGAGAAAGAGGGTGGG